AACAAATATTATTAATATAACTTTATTCTGTAATGAAGATCATCAATACAAAGGTGTTTCATTAAACTGTTAATCAGATGCTGTTTGGTCTATCTTTTAATAAATTTTATATTTGATCAAGGTTATATTATGGGGCGTTAAAGTACTCGTGGTACGCCCATATACGCAGTGTTAGGTGAAGTAAATAGCATACACACTGGTGGGTAAACTTGAGCTTCAGATGTGAGTTATACACTTGTAAGGTTGAAGCTTGACGGTCAACAGTGTAAGGTTGAAGCTTGACGGTAAACAGTGTAAGGTTGAAGCTTGACGATAAACAGTGTAAGGTTGAAGCTTGACGGTAAACAGTGTTAGATTGAAGCTTGACGGTAAACAGTGTAAGGTTGAAGCTTGACGGTAAAGTCTCAGGTTGAGGTAGACTGCCATAGTGCCTGCTGCTTCTTTATCAGATCTATAACATTCTTTGGCGCCTGGAAAGTGAGAATTTATTTATTAAAGCATTCGTTTTAAATAGTCCTTTAGTATACAAGGCACACACATATCAGGTGTGTATAAAATGCTTGTTACAATCATTTTCATGTCACAGCAGATAGACTTACTCAGATATTGACCTTAAACTTAATAAACTAACTTTTTGCAACAAAAACTCTATATATATTTTGCATATACTTGCAATAAAAATGATTTAATACACACTTTAGAATTAAGGTATTCTTAAAGTTAACTAGTATATAGGAAAATTGCAGCCCTAATGACCCACTTGCAGGCGATAGGCGTTAAACCAAACTAATAGTGATTGATCGAATGTGCAGTTGCTAGTCCTACTCGTTTGAGGCTACCTTTTGCACTGAAATGTACTAGGTATTTGCACTTCTAGAAAAACTTTGTTCTACTGTGCAAAAACTCAGAATGTATAAAGAACAAAAAGGTACAATACCGTGACTGGAACAATGAACAAATAACCCTCAGATAGGAGAGAGGAGCTTAGTTAGTTAGTTTAATATGTTTATTATGTACCCCAGACCCATCCTGTGGTCGGTAGTCTAAAGATTACAGAGGTACATAATGGGTCCAGGGACTGGGCCTCAAAGTTTTGATAGCTGAGCAAGTTACAAAGGTAATGAACTCACAATTTACAAAGGTAATGAACTCCAGGTAGGTCTGGTCACAATCATGACAAGTTACAAAGGTATTTACAGATTATAGAGGTACGTAATGGGTCCAGGGACTGGGCCCCCAAAGTTTCGATAGCTGAACTAGGTACAAAGGTAATGAACTCACAAGTTACAAAGGTAATGAATCCTGTAATAATGGTTACTTACGTTTATACATGATACAATCATGAACAAATTATAGAGTACCGAGCAATTCACACTTCCACACCCGGTCACAACTGTAATGAGTTATTGGTGCAAATATTGATTGCTGAGTCACACACACACACACACACACACACACACACACACACACACACACACACACACACACACCACAAAAACAAACACACACACACACACACACACACACACACACACACACACAACACACACACAACACACAAACACACAACATACACAAACTCATACGCACACACACACACACACACAACCGAGGAAGAAGTGAAGAGGCTTCTGAGTGAGCTAGATACCTCAAAGGCAAGGGGGGCCCAGATAACATCTCCCCATGGGTATTGAGAGAGGGAGCAGAGGCGCTATGTGTACCCTAACAACAATTTTTCAATACATCTATCGAAACAGGGAGATTGCCTGAGGCATGGAAGACAGAAAAATGTAGTCCCAATCTTTAAAAAAGGAGACAGACATGAAGCATTAAACTACAGACCAGTGTCACTGACAGTATAGTATGCAAAATCATGGAGAAGATTATCAGGAGAAGAGTGGGGGAAAACACCTAGAAAGGAACGATCTCATCAACAGCAGCCAACATGGTTTCAGGGACGGGAAATCCTGTGTCACAAACCTACTGGAGTTCTATACTTTGGTGACAGCAGTAAGACAAGAGAGAGAGGGGTGGGTGGATTGCATTTTCTTGGACTGCAAGAAGGCGTTTGACACAGTTCCACACAAGAGATTGGTGCAAAAAACTGGAGGACCAAGCAGGGATAACGGGGAAGGCACTACAATGGATCAGGGAATACTTGTCAGGAAGACAGCAGCGAGTCATGGTCCGTGGCGAGGTGCCCAGAGGGGGGCACCTGTGACCAGCGGGGCCCCGCAGGGGTCAGTCCTAGGACAGTGCTGTTTCTGGTATTTGTGAACGACATGACGGAAGGAATAGACTTGAGGTGCCCCTGTTTGCAGATGACGTGAAGTTGATGAGAAGAATTCACTCGATCGAAGACCAGGCAGAACTACAAAGGGATCTGGACAGGCTGCAGACCTGGTCCAGCAATTGGCCCCTGGAGTTCAATCCCACCAAGTGCAAAGTCATGAAGATTGGGGAAGGGCAAAGAAGGCCGCAGACGGAGTACAGTCTAGGGGGTCAGAGACTACAAACCTCACTCAAAGGGAAAAAAAATCTTGGGGTGAGTATAACACGGCACATCTCCTGAAACGCACATCAACCAAATAACTGCTGCAGCATATGGGCGCCTAGCAAACCTCAAACAGCATTCCGACATCTTAATAAGGAATCATTCAGGACCCTGTACACCTGTACGTTAGGCCCATATTGGAGTATGCGGCACCAGTTTGGAACCCACACCTAGCCAAGCACGTGAAGAAACTAGAGAAAGTGCAAAGGTTTGCAACAAGATAGTCCCCCCGAGCTAAGAGGTATGTTCCTACGAGGAGAGGTTAAGGGAAATCAACCTGACGACACTGGAGGGACAGGAGAGATAGGGGGGACATGATAAAGACATACAAATTTCTGAGAGGAATTGAACAAGGTGGACAAAGACCCGGATGTTCCAGAGATGGCACAGTAACAGGGGGCACAGTTGGAAGCTGAAGACACAGAGAATCACAGGGATGTTAGGAAGTATTTTCTTCAGCCACAGAGTAGTCAGTGTGGAATATTGGGAAGCGATGTAGTGGAAAGGGAGGATCCATACATAGTTTTAAACAGAGGATGATAAAGCTCACGGGTCAGGGAGAGGACCTAGTAGCGACAGTTTAAGAGGCGGGCAGGAGCTTGGGACTGACCCCTGGCAACCTCAATAGGTGAGTACACACATACACAAACTAGCCAGGGGCCCGAGCTCGGACCGACCCCCGCAAACCTCAACTAGGTGAGTACACACACACACACACACACACACAAACACACACACACATACACAAACTCATACGCACACACACACACACACTCACACATACACACACACAAACACGCACACACTCATACACAAACTCAATGACGTTTCGGCCCGACTTGGACCAGTGTGACTGTAAATGGTCCAAGACGGATCGAAATGTCGTAAGCGCCTCTCCTATGTGTTGGTTATTTATGTATTGTCTCAGAATGTGTAGATGGCAAAACGGCCATGGGAAATATTCAGCAAGAATTGAAAGAAAATAGTAAATGTGGCAACATGCAGAGGGAGACGAGGTCAGACACTCACACCCGGCCTTACTATATACTGGGTGTTGCCTCTCAGCAGGGCCCTCCTAGCTAGCTACATCCCTACATCGTGGCCTGGTAGGCAAAGCTCTCGCTTCACATGCTGGGATGTGCAGGTTTGATTCCCGGCAAGGGTGGAAACATTTGCCGTGTTTCCTTACATCTGTTGCCCATGTTTACCCATCAGTAAAATGGGTACCTGGGTGTTAGTTGACTGGTGTGGGTCGCATCCTGGGACAAAATTGACTTAATTTGCCTGAAATGCTCTATATAAGCAGGGGCTTTCTATATGTCAGCTAGGCCTGTACACGTAGAAATAAAGATATTATTATTATAAGGTGTATTGACGAATATTGTCCAAAATCACAGATGGTAGAATCTGCTGTATAAAACAGTTAATACTGCTTTTGCCCCATCATTACCTGGGATACTGCTAATACCATCTCACCATCAACTGGATACCAGTAACACCCTGACACCCTGTACCATCACTCAGTACAGCACCTACCCAACACCAACGTTACTATACAATGTTGGTGGCCTGGTGGCTAAAGCTCCCGCTTCACACACGGAGGGCCCGGGTTCGATTCCCGGCGGGTGGAAACATTTCGACGTTTCCTTACACCTGTGGTCCTGTTCACCTAGCAACAAATAGGTACCTGGGTGTTAGTCGACTGGTGTGGGTCGCATCCTGGGGGACAAGATTAAGGACCCCAATGGAAATAAATTAGACAGTCCTCGATGACGCACTGACTTTCTTGGGTTATCCTGGGTGGCTAACCCTCCGGGGCTAAAAATCCGAACGAAATCTTATCTCTTATCTTCCACGCACCACACCACTTACCTGACACTAGCGCCATTATATCACTTACCAGATGTCACACCATCTATCAGGCACAATACCACTTACCTGACACTAGCGCCACCGTCACTGTATCAGGCACTATAACACTTACCGGGCAACAAGAGCATGTTTGAGACGAAGAGCATCGTCTTGTGTCCCTTCAGAGGCATCGTCCATCAGTTCCTACAAAATAGAGCACATTAACAGTAGCAGAATATGAAACAAATGAACAAGAACTCTTGCAGTTCATGCATTTTTCAAGCCACATCAACATCTATCCTTTGATGCTGGTAAAGGGATTTTAATACAAGGAATTGGAGCTAACCCTCCTTTCTCGGATCAAGCATGATTATCTTCCGTTCCCCAGGCAATGTAAAAATCCTACTAGTTCAGTGCCTTCCCAGGAAAATACTACTAAGAGGTTATCTACCAGTACTTACAACCAGATGTGAGGCAACCTGGGTGAGAGTGGTCAGTCTGACGTCCCTGCAGGGGTCAATTGTTAGGTCAGGAGCCCCTGGAGCGTTGACGAGGGACCCGCCACTCCCGGACCTCTTGCCCTGAGGCACCCAAGAACGGGAGAAGGTGATCTGGGCCATTGTAGGGGCGATCGCCAAGCAGACCACCGCCAGCATCACCTGCCACGCTACCATAGCTGCTGCAGATCGAGGGGGAGAGATGTGTGACAGCGGTGTCTTCTGCACGAGGAGGTGGCGTAGAGGGAAGCCGCTTGAGTTCGCTGCGCGTTGCAATGGCTGGGATGCGACTGACCTCCTTCTAACCGGTGCCGGGGTTTATGTACTGTGGTACATCCCTCCCTCCCAGCGAGCTACGCCCCTCTCTCCTATTGGTCGGTCTTTACGCCCATGATAGCATTGTCCTGGTGTATGCAGACGAATACACCTACACACTGCAACATACGCACATACCACATGCGCATGCCACATATTCGTACCTCTATATACGTAATGTACAACGTAAGCTTATATTCAGAAGAATTAAAAGTTCACTTCGTTGAACTATACCAATCATGTCGAATGTTCTTGACGGTTTCACAAAGTTTCCGTGGATACAAAAAAAAAGATGTCTTTATAATAGTCTTGAAGTTACTGTATTTATTTTAACATTTATGTAATTACCTTTGTACAGCTTCCTAAAGATTTATAAGGTATATATACCAATGCCGTTCAAGTGTCCTTATTTGTATATAATTCCTTAACCCTTGTATAGGGTCAAGACCACACCAGACCAGGCCGTCAAGACCACTCCAGACTTCGCTTTCAAGACAGCATCAGACAAGACCGTCAAGAACACCGAAAATGACCATCAAGACCACGCCAGTGGGGCCCATTTACACCTGTAGCTGGTGTAAGGTAAACTACTGGTTCATCCATCTCATGGACTGGAAGACAGGGCTACCTGACGTTAAATAAACTGGTTCATCCCACTCGTAGACTGGTAGATATGACTTCCCCGGGAATACTTTCCCTCATATTATCGACGATAAATAGAAGCCTTCTAAACGTTTTGCAATCTGGCAGGACTGCTGAAGTTTCTTTTCTGTCTCATACTATCTTTTCGTATATTTAATTACTCTTTTCTTTTTTTAATTACTGTCTTTTCCTGTATTTAATTACAAAAAATAAAAACAAGTTAAATTTTAAAAGTTGGGCTGTTTGACTGTGCGTGTAAGTAGAATGGATGTTAAGAAAGAACTGATGGTTAATGTTATGACTGAAAGGATTTGATGTGATAGTAAGAGGAAGGTGCATATTCTTGCACCCACCGAAACAAAGCTAGGAGTGGTGTCACACTCTTGAACGAGGGGAGGAAGAATTAAGACAGGTATGTGTGTGAGAACTGGACCCACACAAGTAGTGGTAATGAAGTAATATACGTTACATATATGGTTTTAATTAGGACAACGTCTCGCTCTGTGTAGAGCTTTATCAAGTCCAGAACTGATAAAGCTCTATACAATGTGGAACGTTATTCCAATAAAAGCTTGTTTTGCAGCCTATGTTAGTTCTTCACAATTATCTGCAGTTCGTCATTTGGATCTGCGTAGCGGTCATGTTCATGGAATATTTGTGGAACAAACAGAAGGGGTTTAAAGGTTTAAATTCAAGGTTTGTGTGGCTTAAAGTATAAGTGTTAAGTGAGAACCGAGTAATGGTGAGCGTTGCTGCAGCTGCAGGGAAGCTGGAAGAGATTCTGTGAGGTGTTAGGCGAATGTTTAAGAAATTTTGAGCCAAATGAGAAAATAATTATATTGAGAAACTTTACTGTTCAAATAAGAGACAATATTGTGGAAGATGTGAGGGAAAATGTTTGCAATACTAGGTGGAAATAAAAGTGGAGGAAATTCACTTTGTTTATACTCTGACGGAAGTTTTATAATAGGAATGGGAGTTTGAAAAAAAAAATGTATATATGATGAGTGTTCCATAAAACCGTTAGTGGACCCTTCAAGCTGGTGAAGGGCTCTAGATCCAAGGAATTGGACCTACCTTCCCTAGATCGAATCTGATTGGCACCCTTGCTCTAATACCCAGGTATTGTGTGATCCCTACGAGTTTAGGGCTCCTTCATGAGTATAACAATAATAATAATAATAATGAGAATGATGGGTATAAGAGGTACAATGAAATAATATTATAATTATATTATAATCATAACTAAGCGCTAAACTCACAAGGGTCATACAGCAAATGAAGATAAGAAAATCCTAGTAAGGGCGAAGAAGTTTGTATATGAAACATTTATACATCGAAAAATATATATATAGAAGGATGAGTAGTCTCTATTGGAGATGAAACAGATGTTAGAAGATTAATGAAGGACTGTCGAAGATTGTTTCGTAAAGTGCTAAGCCCGTGTGGGCCAGTCTGCCTGGCAATGACAGATGCTCCATCTTTATTGCTCAGAATAACAAACAACTTTGGAAAGAGATAAATAGCATGGAAAAACCTAGAGAGCAAAAATAATTGTCTATTAAAAGTGAAAGTGGTGAGATGCTGGATATAGAGAAGCTGCGAGAGAGAAAGAGAATATTCTGAGAAAATGATGAATGTAGATGATAAAAATAGAGGCTAAATAACTCACATGCTTAGATGAGATATCGAAGAATTATTTTTCTAGTAGGAGTGAAGTGGCAGGAGTATGAAGGAGGCGAGGCAGTAAGATGAAAGAAAGTAAAACAGCGGGGAGAGATGGCACGGAGACTAAAATGCTGAAAGCAGGTAAAGATAAGTCTAACGATTGGTGTATTTGTTCATTGTTTGTGAAAACATGATCGGAACTTACGGTTCAACAAAGGAAAAAATCATAAGGTATGGTGGACAGGAAACCAACGTGGATGGTGTTGCAAATGTATGGAATAAGTGTTCGTCTGCGGCGAGTGAAGCTCAGATTAGGACATTTTGCAAAGAAAGATATTTTTTCAAGGAAAATGGGGCTTAGATAAGGATGTGTGATGTCATCTGGTTTGCTTAATATGTTTATAAATAAGGGTAAGTAAAAGTAATAGGGAATGTGATATTAGAGGTAAAATTTGAAGAATTCAGTGTTTGTCTTGCCAGCCATCTTATTCTCCTCCAACAGATTCAACAAGATGCTGAAGGAAATTTTACCAGAACATATATGCAATCTAGCAGGAGTGAAAAACCCCACCTATATACACTAATGGCACCAGCTGGTAGTATACTCTTTCAGCACAGACGAGACTAACTGAAAAGCTGGCTCACAAAAATTCAGTTGGGAGAATTCCATCACAGGCAAGACTGCTGCAGCTATGTTGGCGGGTGCAAACTCTACTAGTGAGAGAGCTCGTCTTTTAGCTGTGTGAGCAACACTCGAGCGATTTCCTCCTAACGGTTCAGATCTCTGCAACTAATACACGTCTAGACCACCAGACTCTTCATATTGCAGTGGCTCTCCGCCTTATTACCCCCCTATTTACACGGAGTATACAGGTGTATTTGCTGCAAAGTGGTAGTTGACCAGTAGGGTCTATATGGTCTGACCTGTTCAAGTTCTGAAGGTTGGCATGTTAGCCACAATGAAGTCAACGAAATCGTCAAGAGAAGTCTCGTTACAGCCCTTTGCTCAGTGGAAAGAAAACCTCTACCTAACACCTCGATTGTGCCAGCCAGCCACCCTGATGGGATTACTTCAGACCCCTGGAAGAACACTAGCCCACTGGCGTGGGACTATACATGTACTTGTCCGTCTACCCAGACTGACACCTACATCTCATTTAGTGCTGGTCAGCAGGGCGATGCTGCTGATTACAGGGGAGATAACAAGGACAACAAGTATAAGGACTTAACCAACCAGTACCACTTTGTCGCTATAGGAGCGAAGACCCCTGGCCCATGGAGAAAACATGCAACAGGTTTCCTTAAAGAGCAGAGTTCCAGGTTTATCGAAACAACCAGAAACCCGAGGGCTACCAACTTACTCTTCCAGCGCCTCAGTGTGGCAATCCAGAGAAGGAACGCCTAATGCATCTGGGTTCCTGACCGGCGTTTCCATATTCCTAGCCAGTGTAGTCATTAATATGCGAAATATGTTTCCTTGTATGCTCCAATAAAAGATTTAAAAATATCTACAAATATATATAAAGGATGGTAGGAGTAGAAAAGTGTCTAGCTTCGGGAAGAAATCTCTTGATCCCACCCATCGAAATACTTTTATTCGCTTCTCTGAGGATGAGTCACTAATTAGCTCCAGACGTGTATACATGCATGCACACACACACACACACACACACACACACATATATATATATATATATGTGTGTGTGTGTGTGTATATATATATATATGTCCACACATCCGTATGAACAGTGCGTACCTGGAAATTAAAACAGGCTTATCCGTCACGTATATATATATGCTGTTTGTCTGAGTGGCACAATTGTTTGAATAGGTGTGTACCTGTCTTTGTATGTGTAGTGTAGTTGTGTTTGTATGTGTTGCATTGTACACACACACACACATACACACACACACATACACACACACACACATACACACATACACACGCACACACACAGAGCAATAGAGCTATTACAACCTAGGATTTCAAATGGCCTGTTACAACCTAGGATTTCAAATGGCCTGTTATCCCAGGTGTAATGGGAGCAAATAAACACAGTAGAAAAAGTTTAGACTTATATTATCCTTCACCAATTATAACAGCAATATGTACACTATGTACAGTGATAAATATAGTGCACTCCACGGTAAGCAAGGCAGAAATAGAAGCCACAAGATAGCAGACCGTGCTTCAACCAGCTCTAGAGTGGGAATGACCAGGGCAGACAGGAGAGCGGTATCCACATAACCTCTGCGATTGTCAATCCCACCTTCTTATTGGCTAGAACCTGGTCACTAGTTGAACGATGGGGCCCCATCATCAACTCTTAGCAACCTGGTTCGCTGGTTGGGGGAGATAGCCTGTAAATGAGGGTGTGTCCATGCGCCGAATAAAGGTTACGTACTCTTTGCATGCCACAAGAGCGATGGTTGATACACTGGCTAGAGTGGCCAGAAGAGCTCATGCATGCAGGGCAAAGCTCCTGATCATGGGTGACTTTAACCACAAGGAGATCGATTGGGAGAACTTGGACCCACATGGGGGCCAAGATACATGGAGGGCTAAGATGATGGAGGTGGTACTGGAAAACTTCATGTGCCAACACGTAAGGGACACTACAAGAGAGAGAGGAGAGGATGAACCAGCAAGACTGGACTTAGTATTCACCTTGAGTAGTGCAGATATCGAGGACATCACATACGAAAGACCCCTTGGGGCCAGTGACCATGTGGTTTTAAGCTTCGAATACACAGTAGAGCTACAAGTGGAGGGAGAAGCAGGAAGGCCAGGACGAATGAAGCCAAACTACAAGAAAGGGGACTACATAGGAATGAGGAACTACCTGAACGGGGTTCAGTGGGACAGAGAACTGGCAGGGAAGCCAGTTAATGAGATGATGGAATATGTAGCAACAAAATGCAAGGAGGCTGAGGAGAGGTTTGTACCCAAGGGTAACAGGAATAATGAAAA